GTCTCTGATATACACACACTATACATGTCGCCATTTATTCCTTTGGCAACCTTTTTTCTACTAGTACTTCTGTTTCTTCCACAGCCCTTCTCTTACCTTTTTCACTGTATTTGACATAATTTTTTTCAGTTTCAGTTCACTCTTGAGCTAATGAGCAGGAGTATACACATGCTGCATAAATAACCGGGAGATTTAAATAAATTAACTCCTTTGTTCCCACAGCATGTACCTCATCAAGTTATAAATCACTGAAGAAGCAGCTTGTCTGAATCTCAGCAGCTTTAAGTTAGCAAATTATGCCAATTTATAAGAGATAATATCATAGCATAGAAGTCAGCTTTTCAATATTTAGACTATTGCAAGACCTGCCAAGAACTGAATGACAGTTAAAAGCAGCAAAGGATAGAAAAACAGTAACAACTAACAAATCATTTAATGCCTTTAGTGGTGGTGCTTCAAAAACCATATTAGTAGAATCTTCCTTGTATCTATTCCCTCCAGTGTGTGAACACTTCTTTTAACATGTTGTTTGACTCATTACTGGTTTTTTAGTTATAAAAATGGAAGGACTTGTTTATATAAAAGAAATACCTTAGATGTATGAATATTACTATCTCTTTAATATATTTGTTACTTTAAAACAAGGAAGGACACATTCACATGATAAATCTTCCTCAAGAAATGGCAGTGTGGCATAATTTTATTATGTGATGGATGAAGAAATGAAAACAAGTAGAAATTTAATTGAGATCAATGATATGTCCCTCTGCACTAAGAGAAAAAAAATAATATCATACAAAGCTCATATTTGCTTAGCTTGGCTTCTGTAAAGTAGGTACCTCATGTTGTCAGCAATAGGAACAATAAATGGATTGAAGCTGTAGACACAAAGTCACAAAGTCACTTTCATAAGTCACTTTTTGACTTACACTTCATTTGGTCTGGTCAACCGTTTTTATGAGATCAAATTATTTCTGTCAGTTGCAAATCTGCATTTTAATTAAAGCAGAAAGTTCAGATAATATTTTTCCTCTTTTTTTCTGATACTTTTTGGGTCCAAGTGTACTACGTACAGGGCCATGTCCACAGTTCAGTTTCAGAAGTAATCTCCAGCAGCTGTGACAGCAGTGTCAGCATATAAGGAGGTACCTTGCAAGACCAGTAAAAACATATACTAAATAAAAGCAATATCATAAAGGATATCTCCACTTCACTGGCAACATTCTTTCCAGTGACAGGAACTGGCATGTAAGTATGTAGAATATGTTTTCTTTATATTTTCTACCTGTCCCATATTAATTTTTTTTAAAAATTTTACTTTACCATTTTGGTAGAAAAAGAATTTTTTTTTTGTTGGCAATAAGCAACCTAGACTAGGAAAAAAGTGTATATATTAAATAAATAAATAAATAAATAAATAAATAAAATTAAAACATTCGCATTTTGGATCTAATTCTGTCCAGCTCTGCTGGGTTCTTATTCTAATCTCCATTATGTCTTTTTCTAACTTCTTAAGTTAAAAGGTCTGCTTGGAGAAAGATCTGTTTGAAGAAATGCTGGATTTTTCATTTCTTTTCAGTCTCACATTTTTCTCTTATCTTTTCTAGGGTCGTGATACATACATTTCAATCTAACAATTAGTTCCTTATTTTCTCAGTCATCCCACACAAGTCAACATATTTGTGGAGGAACTTTGTCTACAGAGTTAGTAAAATCCAAGCCACACCAGAGTAATGGATCAGCTTTCTATAGATCCCAGTGGAGCCAGAATTTCAGCTAGAAAACAAAAGTCCACAGAAACTGGTCATTGAACTATTTTCATACACACTTAATTGAAAGACAAAGAAAAATTACAAAACCATTGAACATCATCTCTGGTGCTGACTCTAGTAAACCACCTAGTAAACTGATAAATCATGAGACATATCATTTTTTGTGGCTAAACTCAAATATTCTGTAAGTCCCATCTGGGTTTACAGTGCTTCTATGGGTATATTTACAGCAAAACTTTTAACAGCACTTCAAAAAATATTCTTGACCTTCCCTATCTTTTTCCAAGTTATTCTGATTCCAAAGCTACCAGAATTCATCATAAAGACCTGGGGTTTCATCAGTTTCCAGTAAAATGTCAGCAGCTGTATCTCTGGGAGATTTTACAGTATTTTAATCATATCCCTGCAAATAGATAGTAATGCTGAAGGCTAATCTGATTTCTCTACAAGAGTATCAACCTTTGTTTTTATTTGGGATCGCTACATCTCTTTCCACAACTGCACATTCTGCTTTTTCTTGTTTCTAGCCACCTCACTACAATCTGCTTTCATTGATGGAGAATAGTATTAAAAACTTAGTGAACAACACGTTTTGAAAGGTTATGTGTATTCAAAAGGCATGTTTTGTTTCCAGCTATTTTTGACATACTGGTATTTTTTAAAAGGCATTATTCCAAAACAAAGGTCTGCCGCACCTGAAAAAATACAGTAGACTTGCCAGCCTCCAAGGCAGTGTGAAGCTTTCACATAATCTTTTTACTAAATAGCCCCTGTAACAATGGCAGAAGAAAATGCATCCTATGGGGGTGAGAAGAGAGTTCCTACGGTTTTCCAGGTAAACTGGTGGCATATTAGACGCCCATGGGAAAGAAAGTTTGCTTATTAACACCTTCCTAGTCATTTTTGAACTGGAAGGTGTAACTCTCTTCTGCACCTCCAGCGCTGCTATGAAGATACCCTGCCATATGATGATGCTGAATAAAGAGTTTGCTTTTGTGCCCATTCTTAATAGTTCTGTGTAATTGTCAGATTTTCCTGAGACTATTGACAGCATTCCTGTTTTCCATGGCAAAACAAGGTAACAAGCATGGGTAGAAAACCCTTATGGACTTGTTTCCTGGCTCTCATTAGATTGGCTCAGGCAATTTGTATCAAGCAAATTCACCTCTTACTCGCCACAAAAATAAAGGGTTAGTAAGCAATTCTTTTTATGTTAGCCTTGCATAAAGTTACCTGGATCAAATGAAACATAAACATATGGAATTGAATGTCTCATGGATTTTAGCTTTCAATTCAAATTTGTTTCGTAGTTTCAAGTACTCAAAAGGATTATGCAAATTTCTCATCCACAGTACAGACAAATTGGAGGGGATAAACCCCTATGTTCTTTAGTGTCATTGTAGATACCTAGACAGAATTTGTGTCTGCTTGTAAAGCCTTCCCAGAGTGCTAATAAGATCTCTACATTGCGCACAAATCTCCTATTTTTAAAAAATGTTGCATACTTTCTCTGTTTGTTACAAGGGCAGGACATGGACAGAGGACTCTGATTTGCATTGAACGTCTCCATCAAACCAGGAAGAAGGATGTGGTGTTTTCTCAGAGTACAATGGACAATGTACAAATAGATAAACATGGTAATCTAATAATTATAAAGGTCTCTGATTTTTAATATCAAATACATTTGCAATTTTATTCTGATCACTGCATATTTTTCCTCATAAAAGTATGGTCTTAATTTAGACAAGTCTTTATATATAAGCATATATTCAGAATCAACAATTTAAAAATATTTTTTACTCTTTATGGTTTGTCTTTCTGTTTAATGATAGTGATACTTCAGCAGCACTAGATGGTTCTTCTTGTATCCACTCTTAAAAGGATGGCAGCCAGGAACTGGCCAATATTGTCAACAAGAAAAAAAATTTGATGAGCTAGATGGTGAAGGAGCTTATATTCCAACACTTTCAATAGGACTTAGCAGCTTTCAAAAGCATTATCAAACATCAGTTCTTTTACTGCTGGCTGTTCAGATTAATTTTTTCTTGTTATGCCTAATATTTAAGTTTTTTTGATTGATATTTAACTATTTAATAGATATAGATAAAATAATCATTTACATAAATGAAAATGCTACACACATATACCCAGCAATACAAAATAACAAAAATTCTCATCAACTGCAAGCTGCTTTCAGGAAACAGGCCCCTTCTTTAACTGCAACAACTTCATTTGTATCAGTTAAGCAGAACGTGAATGATTCAGTGGCTTTATTGACATAAGGGATAGTGGAAGAATTTAACTCTGTCTATAGGAAAAGCTGTAAGTTTTGAATTCACTTTTACCTTCAGGCAGATATATAAATATTGTCTGTTGCAAAGCATGCATAAATACAGACAATAAAATATTTTTCAATGGATACACAGGTGTAAGTGTTCCTCTGACTGGAATAGGTGATTCTTTGGTTTATTGGGGTAACTAATCCATCGTATAGAGAATGAAGTTGTGATATCTGTAACTGTGTTTTTACCCTTAGAAAACATAAAGAGAGATTAATAATAGCTACTAATGAAATGTTTGTTGCAAAAATGATCCAGCAGAAGACATATTGGTTGTGACAAAGTTCAAATCATTTCCACACTCTCTTAATTTAGGAGTGATTCTATTTTATGTATTCTGTTTTTTATGTATTGACGTGTGGTTTCATAAGCATCCATCCTTTGCCTGGTGTGGAAATATTCCTGCTTAGATCACTATACAAAAGATCAGAAATAGCAATGTCAAAATATTTTATATTTTTAAATAACAGAATTATCAGAATATTAAAAAATAAAGTTTAGAAATCCCCTTTAATTAACATGTAGCTAATGCAATCAGAAGTGACTGATGCTTTAGTTTATATAAAAGGGTATTTGTATTTTTCAAACCAAGACTCCATATAAAACAAAATCCTCACAACATGATCTGAAAGGTCCTTCAAAAGGATCTTTTTTCGTATAAGTTGCATCTATACAGGTTTGGTTCTCAATGACACAGCTACATCATTCTAATAATTATTGCTTACACCAGTATGTATCTGAATTTCAAAATTCTTGCTGATACATTTACTGAGCTGGGTTTCTTTCTTATACTTGTTAATCTTGTTTACAACCATGTTAATATTTCACTAGGGCTTAAAATTCAACATGATTTACAATGTGCAAACTTCAGTCTTGACTGCCCCAATGGCAATGCTACAACCTCTGTTGCTTCAGTTTGCGTGCACATCACAGCATCCTGTAGGCAGGTACAAGAAAAAGCCTGTTGAGCTGTGCCTTTTCCTGCCACTTTCACACCCTCTGGCCTGATGCGGACTGTACCTGCTGCGAGCCAGGCAGCAACTGAAAAGCATCAGGGAATCACATTACATTAGATCCTTCCAGCTTCGAGTAATTAACTCAGTCCATTTTATAGAACTGGGATGATTTTGAAGAAACTCCAATGGAATATATAGACAATTCCCTGGCAATCAGTAAGTGCTGGCTTCCCTTTATTTACTACAAGTTGAGGTTTTTTTATATATGTGCTTCTGATCTTTCACAAAACTCTGCACAAATGTATTGGACTCCTTGGTTTTAAGATTTCAGGGAGGCTGCTTTCTAGAGCTAAGTCCTGTGGGCAACTGAACACTTTCAATTTCAATTGACTTCAGAATTCCTGTACTATTTACTGGGATTTGATTAGTAATTTGGTGGTAATGTTCAGGCTTTCTCTCATATGTTTTAAACTTTCCACTACACAGAATGTAGATTTCTTTATATCCTAGGAGTTTTTCTATAAAGAAAATCTATGCTATCCTACAGATCATTACAGATACTTTCTGTTTCAGTAAGTGTTTTTTTATTACTCTCTCAGAGTCCAAACATATTCCTGTTATTAAATGCATTGTACACAAATACATATAAAATAAATATAGCATATAGACATATATACACATGCCAAATACAGTATATGGACATACAGTTAAGTGCAGCTTTACTTTAATAACTGCTATAAATGTCCCCCAGAGCAACAGCACATACTGCGCCCTCAGTAAAAAGAGCTTGAGCTTACATTCTTGTATGAGCCAGCAGCATTGTTTCCTTCTTAACCGCTGAAGTTACTTAACCAGTTTGACCAGGATCTAGTATCCTCCTGAGTAAAGATTTAACTACTCTATTGAGAGCTGTCTCTTTCCACATCCAGTCAGGCAAGTAAATGTTTACACTTTTTCCTAGGCAAAGCAGTAGCAGTTCATGGATCTGCCCTTCACAAACCTTGAATTAGCTTTCATCTTGCTGGCTTTTGTCATTTTCACCTTGTTTACCCTGGCTTCTATCTACAGTGACTCCCATGACAACAAAGAAGGTAAAAATTTAAAATAAATATAGTACTTTACAGGTTTTACTAACTAATATTCTAATTATAGGTTTTGTGATTTATCTTGCTGGTAGACTTACAGTACCTGACACTGGTTTAGGAACAGCATACGAAGGGCAGAGAGTTAAGGCATTAATAAAAGTCACAAGAATAGAAATTGAGATAAGGTATGGGAACAAGACCTTTTAGAGCTGGATCTGCTCACTCAGATGGAGCTGTGCCACACAACCGAGATCAGCACTGTTAAGTAACCTCTGAGTAAGTAAGTCGCTGTTCTCTGTAGGGGAGGATTTTCTCCTGGCAGCAGTTCTGCTTCATGGCCTGAGAAGTTATAAGATGCTTAGACTGGCAAAACTGAGGATGTTCTTGTAATCAAGGTAAATGTTTGTTTTCATTATGCTGAAGCCAAGTATTTGCTCCCTTTTAAGAGAGTGAAAATAGCATTAAAAGCACAGGGGGTGTCTTTCTCCCATTCAAAAGCTTTTAAAATCTGGAGCAAAAAGTCCCAAGTGGATACCCTGCTAGTTCTACAAAGGAGATTTAACAAAACCTTGCACCATCAGCAGAGAATTCCCGTGTTACAGGTATAGCACTGTCACAGCCACCGTCATGCCATCTAATCCCTCCTGGCAGGAGCATCACTGGGGCTGCTAGAGTGCAGCAGGAGCAGGGAGCTCTGGCTTTCCCCACCAAAAAAGGAGTTCCTCTCTTTTTCCAGCCTCCCATGGGATCATCTTACCCCTGCCAAGCTTCCTCAAACTGCAGAAGGTGGGAGCAAAAGGAGGTAGGGAGAAAGTGACTGAAATAAACTCCTGAGGCACACAGCAATATAGGCTGTTGGTTTCTGCCGTATTTGACAGTAAATAATCCTGCATTAACTTTACTTCTGTATAAAAAAAATATTTATTTTATGGGAATGTCACTGAGGAACCCTAATGGAGTGCTCTTAACATATGTGTCATATTGTAAAACTTTGGGTTGCCTAATAATTTGTGAAAAAATAGCTAACAGCGTTAAAGGTGAGGAAGTGTTGCAGTGCTTGCTTCTTGCATGTCAATTAGCTTTCTTTCTTGCTCTTCTGCTCCCTTGAATTTTACATCATTTCTACACAGAAGGGGAAACTGTTCAAAAACAATGCACATTTCTGCAGATGAAGTGTGGTTGCCATGAGAACTGACCTCATTGAGACAGCGTGGACACAAGCAGTTTTCCCTGGGAGAAGTCTGCTGTATTGACATGGCAAGAACAGCAACTCCTCAGCTCAAAGGAGGATGGGGGAATCATGTGCTATAAGGAATGCAGTCCTCATGGCAACTAACAAATTTTGCATTGGCATGAACTTGAAAATGAGGTGTTGTTTCACTGGTCTCTAACTGACATGTGTCTTTTATGAGATTAAAAAGGGGAGTTAATGGAATCATACTGATTTTAAACTTATGCCTTCCATTGCGCAAAGACAAGGTTAGATATCCTTCCTTGCCCTCAGGTCCCACAGTAACTTAGAACAGAGGTGTAGTGTGAGTAGCTTTGACAGCATCTCCTTAGTGTCAAAACTGCATGAGAACTTCTCACTTCTCACTATCCTGTTTTTACGACCACAGCCACACTTTCAGTCTGCAAAGAGTCTTCTGCTAAGTCTTCTGCTGAGCACTATATGAGAGTAGACTCTTGATGTAAGAGCTCATAGGCACCAAATCTGTCAAAAACCTTGGTGTGCCCTCATCAGACCTGCTTCTTATGTTCCCAGTATTCAAAGCACTTTTTATGCAATGATCTTGAACAGAACTGCTGTGAGAACAAATCCCACTTACTATGCTAGTGAAACAACCCCTGAATTTAGGCAATGTCTTTCTGCAATAACAGAGTCTCAACCACGTTCATGTCTTTTCCCACAATGTTTTTTAAAATCTGCTTTAGAGGAAAACCTGGAAAGCGGGGAATCTATATGAAAGCCTGCTGCCTAAGATGCAGTGGCAACAGGGGAATAAAAACCATATATCCTCTTCGTGCTAACATTGATGGATGTCTTGTTAGAAACGTGTCTTAATACAAAGCTAACTGAAACAGATATTTCGGTGAGATGTTCTTCATAGCTCTTTTAGCGTGCTCATACAGCCCTAGGCCAGGACGTTCTACTCACAGCTGAAAGGAATTTCCTTTGATTTCCATCTTACATGTTATCTGAACAGAAGAGGAGGGCTACAGAAGAATTCTAGTTTATAATCCAGTTATTTCAGTTCAGTTATTTAAGTGGAGATAGTTGTACAATTGTGGGAGGATGTCTGTGCTTGTTTTATTTTCTGTTGTGGCCAGTAAGCTTGCATGTCATTTGCTTTTTCCACAACACAGAACACAGCGTGTATCCTTCAGTTATTTGTTTAGATTAGGGAAAATGGGAAACAGAAATATTATGCTGTATTTCTCAAGCTTCTAAAGCAATTTTTGAGGGAAACTGTCCAAATCTCACCTCGTATTACAGTATTTTATCATGGTATTGTGTAGCAGAACATATAGTGCGAAGCAGCAGTTCCTGTGCCAGCTGAAAAGCCAGTGCTCAGTGTGCCACTTCAGTGACACAGACTTTTCCTCCCTCAGCCAAATGAGGGCATGTTCTATAAGATTATTCTATCTTTGAGAAAATGCAATAATCCGTGGAAATGTAAACATAATGTCTTCCTTCAAAAGTCTGTTTCTACCTGAGAAAAGAAAAAAAAGAAATCCGAGAGTATTAATTCAGTAATTGAGGCAACTGAGATACTTAAGGGAGGGCACAGAACAAGTAGAAGGACACTGCAGAAAAATACAGAAGTGCTTCACTAGATTAGTCATAAGGAAATTTAATTCAGAAAACTAAATTTAAAATAAAGCATACATCATTATGCTATGCATAACAGTAGCTACTTGAAGCAGTACAGAAGCCTACAGAAAACCTAGATGTAAGATCAAGAATATACTCATTGCATGTGTTACAAAAACTTTTTTTGTTGGCATTACATATTGTTCTTTACAGCTAGAGGCCTACAGGCCAGCATCTGGCACAAACTGAGATACAAGACACAGATTATAAAAGCTGACAAGAATGGAAACTGGGAATCTGTGGTGGTGTGTCATTCTGAAGGAGGCAGCAGCATGTATTTCCTGCTACCCTTTTAGAAGAGGCTAAACCCACTGTCACAACATATATGGAGCACAGTTTTCATGCTCCAGTGCCATTGTTGCTCTTATATAAGGAATAATGGTCAGGAAGTAGTCTTGATTCTTTCTTGGGTGTAGCAGGTAATCCTTGACTTTAATTTCTTGCACTATTTGATCTGTATCCCTCTCAGGAACCAAACCACAACTTCTTGAAGAAAAGTGCAATGTGCTTTACAGAAATTTGTTCTAAGAAATATAAAAGATGACAGATTTATTGTAAAAAGTTAAAAGGAAGCAAGACCTTTATGGCTTGTGATGTATGTACTGCCAAGGAGAGACAGTCATTAGAAAAGTTCCAAGTAGCGCTTATGCAATAAATCTCCCACTGGAGGGAGTTGTCTAGTCACCGTGAGCCACTAGCTCTGCTACTTGGAGAAGAATTATCTTGCAAAGACCAGAAACAACATATGATTCCCTGGAAGCCTTGCTCCCAACAGTGTCTGTTAGAACTGAAATCTCAAGTCTGAAGATTAAAATGCCTGTCTTGCCACTCATATCTCCGTAGCTTGACAAGCTATTCCAAACACAGGTGCATGCAAGAGAGTTCTTCTATTTACTTTGCACAGTTTTGCCTCAGGGAAATTTGATTTCATATGCACTAATTGAATTTCAGCAGAAGAAATTTACTATTTTGCACTAGTTACACTGCATAATCCAAAAGGTAAGACAGCAAGGAAATACGAGCAAGAAATTCTTCTTTCCCCAGAAAATTTATTTCTCCATATATTTTTTTTTTCCAAAAAAACCCCAACTATACATATAGTGGAAATAAAGGAAGGATTGCCTGTACTAAACCACTATTTAAAAAATTTACTTATATTAAAACTATTTAAATTCTTTGAGATGCCTTCTTTCATACAGGCAGCCTGGTGCTTTCTCCCTTCTCACTATTGCAAAGCCCTTAACTCTGCCACTAAC